TTCAACTCCCCCTCCCATTCCTCAGACGACATGTCCATCCTGGGCCTCCTGCAGTGCCACAACGATGCCACCCGAAGGTTGCAGGAACAGCAACTCATATTCCGCTTGGGAACCCTGCAGCCCAATGGTATCAATGTGGATTTCACAAGTTTCAAAATCTCCCCTCCCCCTACCGCATCCCAAAACCAGTCCAGCTCGTCCCTGCCTCCCTAACCTGTTCTTCCTCCCACCTATCCCCTCCTCCCACCTCAAGCTGCACCTCCATCTCCTACCGGCCAACCTCATCCCGCCCCCTTGACCTGTCCGTCCTCCCTGGACTGACCTATCCCCTTCCTAACTCCCTACCTACACTCACCTTTACTGGCTCCATCCCCGCCTCTTCGACCTGTTTGTTTCCTCTCCACCTATCCTCTCCTCTATCCCTCTTCAATCCGCCTCCCACTCTCTCCCTATTTATTTCAAAACCCCCTTCCCCTCCCCCTTTTCTGATGAAGGGTCTAGGCCGGAAACGTCAGCCTCTCTGCTCCTATGATGCTGCTTGGCCTGCTGTGTTCATCCAGCCCTGCACCTTGTTGTCTCGGATTCTCCAGCATCTGCAGTTCCTACTATCTCTCCCCCGTGTCTCCATGGGTTTTCTCCCACAGTCCAAAGATGTGCAGGTTAGGGTGGATTGGCCATGCTAAATTGTCCCATAGTGCCCAGGGATGTGCAGGTTAGGGTGGATTGGCCGTGGCAAATGCAGGGTAACGGGGATGGGAATGGGGATGGGATGCTCTTCAGAAGGTTAGTGTGGACTGAATAGGCCAAAGGGTCTGCTTCCATACTGTAGGGATGCAATGGTAGGACTGGTCTGGCAGCATCTGTGGAGAGAGAGAGAAACACAGTTAACATTTTGGGTCCAGCTCCAAAGAAGAAACACTGGAGTCAAAATATTAACTCTGTTTCTCCCTCTCCACAGATGCCATTAGACCAAACTGATCTTCTCCAGCAATTTCTGATTTCTCCAACAGTCTGGCAAGCAGCTTAGCCAGGAATCTGGCAATTGTGTATTATTTGGGAAAAGACAGGAAAGTGGACTTGAGGATGATCAGATCAGCTATGATCTCATCAAATGGCAGAGCAGACCAGATGGGCTGAATGGCCTACCTTTATGGTCAGAATCAGCCTGGCTATGGAGGGAGCTCAGAGGAGGTTTCCAAGAATGATCCCAAGGATGAAGGGCTGTCATATGAGGAGCAGTTGAGGACTTTGGGTCTGTACTCTATGGAGTTGAGAAGGATGAGGGAAGGGGGATCTGATTGAAACTTACAGAATACTGAAATGCTTGGGTAGAGTGGATGGGGAGAAGATGGTTCCACCAGTAGGAGAGACTAGGACCCGAGGGCACAGCCTCAGAATGAAGGAATGAACAGAGATGAGGAGGAATTTCTTCAGTCAGTGTGTGGTGAATCTATGGAACGAATTGCCGCAGGGAGATTTGGAGGCTAAAGCATTGAGTGTCTTTAAGACAGAGATAGACAGGTTCTTGATTAGTAAAGGGGGGTGTCAAGGATGACAGGGAGAAGGCAGGAGAATGGGGTTGAGAAACATCTGAAAACCATAATCGAATAGGGGAGCGGACTTGATGGGCTGAATGGCCTAATTCTGCGCTCATATCTCATGGTGTTAGGTTTTTAATCTGCTCAATTATCTGGGTAATGGGCATGAACAGGATGGAAGCACAGGTGGGGTCATAGCCTCAAGTTATGTGGTAGACTTGTTTTGAACTGAGATGAAGAAAGAGTTCTTCACGTGGACAACCTGCGAAATTCTCCACTGCAGAAGACTGTCGAGACCCAGTGATTGAATACATTCCATGAAAAAAAAATGGAGGAATTTCTAGTGACCAAAGACATACAGGGAGAGAACAGGAGAGTGGCATTGAAATAAAGGAGCAGCCGTATTGAATGGCAGACTGGGATTGATGGAGCGAATGGCCTCTTCCTGCCTCCATAAGACCTGTTGTTCTGTCTCCGAAGGCAGATGTACGTGTTTTGGAGAGGGGAAATAGAGATGTGATTCCTCCCGTACATTTCTCTGCAGTGTTTTATCTTGTGAATACCCTGTCCAAGTGCTCTAATGGCTGTCCAATTCTCTCTGTTTCAGGGTGTTTAAGAAGTCAAGCCCGAATTGCAAGGTAAGAGAACTTTGCTGAATTCTGGGGAGTTGTGAAAGTAAATAAGAGATCCAATATTTATGGCCAGTCCCTGATGTCCCTGGGGAAAACAGCTGAGGCCTGTGTGATGAAGAAGGTCAGGGTTAGAGACGGACTGTGCTTGGGTACATCTATACTGGCTGCAGAGACGGATATCCTCCCCCCTGCCATCTACTAAGTTCATCTGTAGTATTAATGTTCTCGATAGCTTTCCTGGATTAGGACAATTCTAATGTGTGTACTTCCACCTATGTTGATTCTATACTAAAGTGGGTTTAAGGGCACCTTGGAGGATTAGCACTGCTGCCTCGCAGTGCCAGGGACCCTATTCGATGCCATCCTAAGGTGACTATGGATATTGCACATCCTCCCTGTGTTTGCGTGGGTTTCCTCCCACAGTCCAGAGATGTGCAGGTTAGGGTGGATTGGCCGTGTTAAATTGTCCCATAGTGTCCCAGGGACGTGCAGGTTAGGGTGGATTGGCCATGCTAAATTGTCCCATAGTGCCCAGGGATGTGCAGGTTAGGGTGGATTGGCCGTGCTAAATTGTCCCATAGTGTCCAGGGATGTGCGGGTTAGGGTGGATTGGCCGTGCTAAATTGTCCCATAGTGCCCAGGGATGTGCAGGTTAGGGTGGATTGGCCGTCCTAAATTGTCCCATAGTGTCGAGGGATGTAAAGGCTAGGTGGGTTACTCACGAGAAATGCAAAGTTACAGGGATAGGGTTGGAGGATGGTGGGTCTGAGTGGGATGCTCTTCAGAGGGGCGGTATGTGGACTCTGAGCTGAATGCCCTGCTTCCACACTTGGGGGATTCTGTGATTGGTGACAGCACTCCATTTTCTCTGAGGTTTGGGGCAGATTTGATTATCTTTGAGCTGGGCTGTTCAGGGCTGCCCCATTCCTTCATTCCACCCACAGTGCAGTTTGCTGGACATAGCATGGGAGCTGTGTTCAGTGGGGCTAGACTTTCTCCATGCGTCTGCCGGATGGGGAAAGTGTAGAGGAAGTTTTACTCGATATCTAACCCCGTGCTGTCCCTGTTCTGGCAGTGTTTCATGGGGGATTGTGTAGAGAGAGCTTTACTCTGTATCTAACCCCATGCTGTATGTGTTCCGGGAGTGTTTGATAGGGGACAGTGTATAGTGAGCTTTACTCTGTATATAACTCCATGCTGTCCCTGTCCTGGGAGTGTTTGATGGGGACAGTGTAGAGTAAGCTTTACTCTGTATATAACCCCATGCTGACCCTGTCCTGTGAGTGTTTGATGGGGACAGTGTAGAGTGAGCTTTACTCTGTATATAACCCCATGCTGAC